TTGCATGAATATTCCGTGCGATGAATCGGCTGCTTGGCTGATACCAGGGACCATCCAAGGATCACCCAACAAGGAAAACACCTGTTTCAGGTCGACGTGCCCGCGAGCAGGGCCTCTCTTCCCGAACCGTTGCTACCCAGCTATATTCACAATGGCGCGGCCTTGTTCGTGCTTCAGCATGGGGCTGAGCCTCAACTGCGAAATTGGAGGTTGGTTTGCCATACCGAAAAAGGACCCTCACTCCCTCCCCTTCATATGTTTCGTTCGGAATGTAGCGCCCGTCGACACCACGAAACGAACTGCGACAAGACGATGCTCGTTTATCCCGAGGTTTTGGGCTATGCAACTCGGGCTCTGATTTGCCTCAAGCGCTCCGACTAGGCCACAGACGACACCCACCACAACCACAGTTGCCCAGCGACATCTAAGCCATGCGCACAAAAGCCAATCAAACACCGATTCGAGAGCATCGTTGTAGCAAACAAGTTTTGAAAAATTGCTGTACGAGTGGCAGGGGAGAGTCAGGCTCACGCTCGAGTTGGCCGGGGTCCTCGAACTGCAAAACCTCCGCCCACTCGCCCGACTGTGGCGGCCGAACGTGGTTGACAAGCAGGGACAGGTACGTCGCTAGCCTTGCGCGGAAGGTCGGGGGGTACTCGAGGCACATCGTCCACTTCAAACTGTGGGAGGAATCAAGTACCGCAGGTGGGAGCGCGTGTGTCAGAAACTCAGACAGTACGACCCCCACCATGTACGTCAAAAATTGAAATAGCAGGCGGAGATGGGGCGGAAAGCTCTTGGGGTTGGGAGGGACCACCAAAACATCGACGCGCTGGAGGACAGCTGTGAACTTCGTTCGAATTTGGTCTTGACCACACCCCTGCTGGCCATGCTTTTCGGATGCGAAGGATGCCCCTGTGCTCGTCCAAACAAACCGCAACCTGCAGCGCACGACCATTGCCCCATAGTCCGTCCACGGCTGTTGGTTTCACGCCTTCTTTAGAGCTCGCGCAACGTTACGCGCCGCTCTCGATATCCTACCCAGCACAGTATACCGCCAGCGTACATCGCGACCCCGTGCTGAGCCGTACCCCCGCACGCTTGAATTACGCACCTCTGACTTAGCAGGTGGCAGCAGCCCTTGGAGATCAAGGCCCCCATGTCTTGCCGTACCCAGCCTTTAGGGCCGGTTAGGGAAACGCGGTTTTGAGGCATGAGACCATGGTATGGCTGTGGGTATCGCACGATATCTCACGCGATAGTCCCGGCATGCGGCCCGAGACGCAGAAGGGGCGCCAAAAACACGTCTCTAGCAGAGGACACTTGGAAACGTCGGTGTTGTTGGTCGATCGAGCTCCTCTACAGCGGTGGTGAGCGCCTACTTGTCACGTTTCGCTTTTCATGTGTCGAGATCGGACAAACCTCAACCGCTTCTCTCACCACTCCAAAAGGCACAAGGGGTCACCGACAGACAGGATCAACCCGACCACTTGATATCGAGGAGTGTCGTACACCCAAGACGCTAAGTAATAGAGCGTGTTCCCGAGCCCGTTTCCCTCTCCCCGAAATCTCGACACACATCATACTAGAGGCGGTAGCCCGTCCCTCACCCATCCTTTGAAAATGCAGGATCAGGTCGTTGGCGTGTGGGTAGGCGTGCTCGATCAAGAAGTCGAACCCCAGCGCACTCATGATCTTGTTCTCGACTTTTACCACTCGATTCTTGAACCTTTTGTACGCCTGGCAACCGAGGCGTGGGGTCGCGGAGGAGGGGAAATGAACGACTCCGGGTGCGACTAACGACTATCATGCATCTGAACGGTTGGCAGTAGTTCGAGAATCTCAAGAGCCCAAAGAAGCCGTTCTCGGTATCACTACAATGCAAGTGAACTGGTCGTGTTAGTTTTTCGCCTGTCTCACCTCGTCCACAGGTTGGTGTCAAACCTTTCTTGCCGGTAGTGGGCGCTATTCCCAGACTCACCTCCGAGGGATCCAAGCGCCCGATGATGGTATAGTTGGTGACTTTGTTTGTGGCGATGAGGACGTCCTTGATGTGGATTTTGAAGTCCTCCACCTTGCTGGCCAGCAAGACTGACGCCGCCACCGTGTCCTGATAGAAAAAACACAACAACGCACACAAATCAGGAACAGCCAGCGAGGTTTCGAGCCCACACTCCGTTCCCTACGGGTGTCTTGACCACCGTTGTATNGAACAGCCAGCGAGGTTTCGAGCCCACACTCCGTTCCCTACGGATGTCTTGACCACCGTTGTAAAATTCGTATCCGAGGCATTCGCCTGTTCCTCACAGAGCCCATTGCTTGTGGATGCTCAAACTTCTACCGGCCGTAGAATTCGTTGTTCCGAGCTGCCTCACCCCATAACATGTACCACAATTGGGGGCGAACAGTACTCAAGGAGTTTGACTAGCCCCGGGCCGAGAGCAAGTTGGAAATACTAGAGTCCTCCCTTCTCCTTGTGAAGAAGCGACAAGTCCCGAGGTGACGCGTTCTGTTGCTTGCGCTCATGCACGTTGCGACAAAAACAATATACTTTCCACAACCACCTTGCGATAAGTCGAAACCCTGAGGGCAATGGCGTCGTGTTGTTCGTGATGTCAATAGTTGCGATGCCCGTAACTCCGAAGTTTCGAATGCATGCGCCCATATGCCCTAGGTTCTAGTCTACAAATGTGTCGCTGTAGTTGTTGTAGTTGTTGTAGTTGTTGTAATTGTAGTAGTAGTAGTAGTAGTAGTAGTAGTAGTAGTAGTAGTAGTAGTAGTAGTAGTAGTAGTAGTAGTAGTAGTAGTAGTAGTAGTAGTAGTAGTAGTAGTAGTAGTAGTAGTAGTAGTAGTAGTAGTAGTAGTAGTAGTAGTAGTAGTAGTAGTAGTAGTAGTAGTAGTAGTAGTAGTAGTAGTAGTAGTAGTAGTAGTAGTAGTAGTAGTAGTAGTAGTAGTAGTAGTAGTAGTAGTAGTAGTAGTAGTAGTAGTAGTAGTAGTAGTAGTAGTAGTATAGGTTCTAGTCTACAAATGTGTCGCTGTAGTTGTTGTAGTTGTTGTAGCTGTTGTAGTTGTAGTAGTAGTAGTAGTAGTAGTAGTAGTAGTAGTAGTAGTAGTAGTAATAGTTGTTGTTGTTGTTGTTGTTGTTTGTGATGGTGATCGTTTTGGTATTGGCCAGAGGTTTATTTCTTGGTACGGAGTAGTTCCTGTCGGGGCACCTTCCTCTACAATGGTAACCGCCCCCCACCTCGTAAAGTTAATGTCGGACCGAGTTGCTAGGGTGCTTTTGTCGACCATCACACGTTCCAATTCTGAACAAATTCTTGCTGCTGAATGATTTTCATTTATTCTTTCTCGGTAGCTGGATGGAGAGGGCACGCTAATCGTACCCCATGGTCGTGGCGAGCGATGGAGGAGATGACGCCACTTATCTTCCAAAAACTAGGGTACGAAAACAAGTACTGGTACGACACAAGTACCGTCCCACGCAAAACAGAAAAATAAAATAGTCGGCATTTCTTGCGCCGTAAAGTAGTGGTACCTCTAGTGGTACATGCTCACACAATGAACCTGAAGGAGGAGGAAACATGTTCGCCAAGAGAGAGAGCAGCTGAGGTTCTCGATGCATACAGCAACAATCTTCATGAACATTAACGGTACTACTGTCGGGCACAGCGAATAAAATGGGAACTTCATTGAAGGCGTCAAGTACTTACTCGCGGTGGTCTGACGGTATACGCGTCAAAAAAAAATGAGAATGACTGCGAGGGACCGACGGCTCAGACGAGTCCCATCCCAACGGCACAGTTTGAGTGCTGGTGAGATCGCTCCTGCACGACGGTCGCGGGAGCCGCAGTTTGGTCGGCATCGCCCGCGCACTGGCATTGGATGGAACATAATTCCGAACCACATACTGTAGCTCTTTTTATACACAGGCACTTATGACAATCTGGTGCATCTATCGGTCGTGTGTCCCGCAGGGTGAACGAAACCTGACAGAAGCGAGGGGTTGTGGCACTACTGCTGTTGTAGGAGTGAAGTCATTCCGAAAGCCAAACAGTTGCAGCGAAGTCTCGCTGCCAAGAGTAGCGATACAGGCCACTTCCGCTGGGAACGCAAATCAAACGCTATCCACATGCTGAGGTAGAGGGAATTTGCTGCCCAATATCAGGGATATCATACGAAGAGCTAAGCACTACTGTGGCTAGAACGAAAAAGTTTTCCGTAGGTGAAAGGTGAGGTTCACGAAAGTTTCGGTTGGAAACATATTTCGTGACGGATATTCATACGAAAAAATTGAATGCACCAGCACGCATCTTGTAGGGGGCTGTCGATAATATTTGTGCACCCACCACTCACGCACGCACACAAGGTTTGGCAGGATCCGTGGCGCGACTTCTTTTCATTCTCCCTGAGTTTGCCCACGGGCTTCAACATGCCAGCAGCTATCGATTGGCGGCGAGTTGTAGCAACAATCGTGCTGCTGTTCAAAGTCACTTTCTCCGCGACGGCATGCTGCGATGAGCATGTTTTGGTATATAGTAGTGAATAGAAACAGAAGATAAAGTAGTACGACATGAAGGACACCTCCCTTGCTCACGTGTAAGTCGATCTCCGTGAAGGATACTAGGGCGAGGAAGCGCTGGTAGATCGTCATCGCCCCAGCTATCACCACGGCCTTCGTTGTCAGCCGCTTGCAGATCTCCAACATGAGCTTGTGCGCCTGCGAGCGGTGCTCTTTGTCGTAACGGAGTTGTTGCGCCCGCCAGAGCTGGTCGGCTTGGCCGCAACCCATCCTTCAAGACACACCACATGGACGGGGAGCAGCACAGGCGAAAGCAGCCGAGAATGAATGTCAAGTGAGCAGAGAGGCCGCCTGCAAGCACGTACCAGGTCCCAACCCGATAGCAACGACTACAAGGCGCTGCAATCCTGAAGATTACGGCTGGATACAGTCGATCGATTGAGCGGCGGGCTTTTCTCACGGAATGGCCATGATCATCCTGCACTACTGCTGCTGCCGACTGTTATGGCCCACATTGGACAAGTCTATTTACTGATGGCTGATGATGAGCATGCTAACATGTCATGCTAACATGTTCTATCGAACTGGTTCCTTCCTCCGTGTGGTTCACAAAAATTTCGGCGGAACCATGCAGTACGGTTTGAGCCGCGCGCAGGTCGTGACGGGCCAGATAGCTCCACGTGAGCACCAGGCTATATGCACACCCCACCTTTCGGAATAATGTGATGAGGCAGCAGCGGTGATCAAACTGGAGGGAGTCTCTACACTTCTTGCTACGGTGCACTTAATCTGCACACGAGAAAGGTCCGTCCAAGTGTCCCCTCCCTCACGAGTGTGTTCTTTTCACTTGTTTAAATCTCAAGGTTTTGGGGTGTAGGGTGTAAAAGTGCGCGTGGGTTGGCAGGCTATTACAGCACCCAAACCAGCAGCACGTGATGCTTTCACCAAGAGAACGGGGCGTTGAAGAACAACAGCGCTTTTTTATTCAGCATCCAATATCAAAGTTCTGCCGACGGGGGAGAAAGACAAAGAGAAGAGCGGTCATCACACAGCTTCCCCAGGCACTGCAGGTGACAGTATCGTTACCTCTGCTGTACAGCAGCAGTAGAAATGTGTATCCTCACCTGCTGCTCTTCTTGAGGGAGGGGGGATTTTCCAGCTCCTCCAAGGTGAACTTCCATCCACGGTCCTCCCAACCAAAGTCGGAGCGCCTCCCAACCCTCGTCACGACCGCTTGCTCCTTTCCCTCGTCTACCGGCTTCGCTGCGGCTGCTCCTGTGTCAGTCATCGCCCCGAGTGCGGCGGCGAGCGGGTGAAGTGGCTGATTGCGCGATCTGCCGAGGGAGTTCCTCACAGGACCCGATCGATCCTACCCTTCTCCAGGAGCTTGTCTAGTCAGGTCGTTCCTTGGCTTGTCGCTTACACTGGTCTCACGTGCTTGGAGCTGGTGCCTCTGTATCAAGCTAGAAACCACAGCAGTGCTGTGGGGCGGACGGCGGCGCAAGAAAACATGGCGGAGTGGGGGGGCTCTGTGATTGTGAATATTATTTTCAATCCGGGGGGGGTCTACAGAGAAACCAACCCGCCGTCCGTTGAAAAACAACTCTGTACGTCAGCCATTTTGCGGCGGAACAGACGCCCCAGGCCCCCTCTCCCCGGGGACTATTTAGTGACATCCCCTTGTTTTCAAACAGAGGCGTTGTCCATTGACCGTTAGCGCCGCACTTGCGGGCATTCACAACAGAGACTTCTACTGGCTGGTAGCTCGCGCCTCTTTCGTTGGGCGACCAGGGCACCTGTCCCGTTCACGAAATCCACTCTCACGAACGAAAGAACAGGGCACGATATCAGTGAGAGTCCTCTAACCTGGCGAACGTACTGTAGTGTATGGGAAAAGGGTTTGTCTTTGGCTTGTACCTTGATGGGCATGTTGCCGCCTCGCTCATGTCCCCGCTTGAAACACGCGCAACCCTGTTCACGAGGTTGGTTTGGAATCGGGGTCACGGGCACTGGCAGCCCCACGAGAGTGAAGGGTCTCAAGCCACACAGTCTTCGTCTAACCGCCTATAGCCACACCGCACATTTGGTGGAAAACACGGAAGGAGGCCACCGCAAAACACTTTGACGTTACACCAAACGGGTGAGCGCAACACTTCAAAAAATGTGTCATTCTACGAGCGAGCATGTGCACCCGGTCGTCAGGGCACATCGCATCATACCAGCACTTACACTTAGACTTGTGGGTGAGCCTGTGACCACAGATCATCGAAACAACATACATGTAATGCAGGTGGGGTGGGGTGAATTTACTTCCTGAGAAACGGCCGGAAGCCTAGACACTATGATTCAGACCGTACGAAACAACAGCAGCAACAACAGGGCATTATCTGCATCAGCAGCGTTCTTCCGGACCACAAACGTAACGCATCCAAAGCAGAGCAGGCGTGCTGCAGCGAAGGTCACAGGCATGCAATCATATCCCTGAGGTGTGCATACGCAAGAACAAGGACACCGAGACTGGATCCAAGTACTTACTCCTCGTACAAGACTCCCCTTCCGACAAAGAGTGACATTTGCTTGAGTTACACGCAGAGAGTCAGGCAAGATGGGAGGAGTGCAGAATATGTTTGTTTTTGTGTGAATGGCGGGTGATCAGACGGTAGCACCCTGGTAGCCGATGCGTGGAGATGTGAAGATTACTTTCCTTGATTGGGCATGGGCCATCATAGTGTTGACACGCGCGGAGCCCGTGCAGAGGTGACTCGGTAATTCCTAGATAATTCGATCACACGCATGTCACGAAGCTCCGTAGCGAGATTGCACCTCTTCCAAATCATTGCCTTTAGCTGTGTGGAGCTGTAGTCCGACCACAGGTGCAATTTCGATCTGCTTTCCGTTGTTCTTCCCTTTGATAGACCTTTTTTTATCTCCTCGCACGCACGCCGTGCGTTCAGAATCCGCACCAGCCGATTGCCACACCAGTCGCACAAGATCGGACCCGGTCGCACACTGAGCAGCAGGGCACAAGACTCGGCATAAAGCCGCAATCTCGCATGACGTCAGAACGAAACATCTGACGACGCCATGTTACCATGTTAATGCACCATCACATGGCTACCTCCAAATACCTCCAAATACCATAACACAATCATACTGAAGGCTGGGGGGCGGAAACAGAATGAAGCAGCCGTCACTGTACGTGCTGCGCACGGGTCAGTATGTGTAGTCCTGGTAGTTTCTGTTGCAGAATTGCACCGTAGTTGGAATACAGTAGGAACACGGTGTGACACAACATCATCATCCCGTCATTTGTTTCTGCGAAGAAACACAACGAACACGGAGAGAGAGAGAGAGAGAGAGAGAGAGAGAGAGAGAGAGAGAGAGACAGACAGACAGACAGACAGACAGACAGACAGAGAAGCAGCTTCAAAATAGTTTCCAATATTCGGCATCAACAAGTTGCGTTGTGTCTTCAATGTCGATGGTGATTAGCGACGAATCATCAAGTTCTCGTGATCACCTCGTACCACATCAAACGCATATTTAAAGTGCTTTTTACTCGAGTGCAGTACGTACCTGAAAGTAGCACAACGCAGGCCTAGCACAATCAGTCGTCGGTGTCGTGTTCCCTCTACTTCAACGTATCGTCACACCCCAACTCCCCAAACTCGCCAACAAACAATATGTTACACGTACCGGGGTGGGGTCGTCTCTTTGATGAGAATGAAATCGCCTCCCTCTGTAGATATACGCCCGGGATAGTAGGCGAGTTTCTCGTAAATTCCCCCGGGGGTTGGTTTTGAACTAACATTTCACGTCCTACTTTTGCCATCACAACTTGTAGGGCCGAGGTAGGTGGTTCTATCTGGATGTACACCAAGACCAGGGATCTGGAAGGTGAGAAGGGCCAAATTCCCCAATATTAGCCACACCGAGCTGGTAGGATTTTCGTGCTGTGTTGATATTTCCCTTCTGCACCGTCAGCGCTTTTGCAGGCTTTGGTCCTCAATTATGGGCGGGGAAGTAGACCATGCTGGCAGCGATCCATGCATCGTTGTTTGCTTTTTTTATTCTGTTGCATTCATCGACGTCTTTCGCCCAACCGCCAATCAATGACGAGAAGTTTGACTTGTCGGCAGAACCAGAGGCAACATAACGCGGTCATACGACACTGAGCTAGTGGAGGAAGCAGCCGGGGGAATATCGGAATACCAAGAATCCTCTAAGACCCTGCAGCCCATAAAAGTAAGCAACGGAATGCAAACAACCAACGAGCGATACACTAACAAACAGTATTCGAAGCTGACCCTTGGGCACTGCCACCGTGAATACCGGTAAACATAACCGAGACAACTTCTCACGGCGGTTCTCGCTCAGGTGCACAAGGGCGCCATCTTCATCTCTCGTTGTGGTTCTCCCTTCCCTAGACCCCCTTCATTACAGAAAGGCATGCGTGCCAGACAGAGCATGGCATGTGACTGTGGTTCCCGGTTTTCTAGGAGGTTTGATATGTACTGTCCACCTTGTACCTGTTGTGGTTGAGTGTCCGACATTTCTTTCTTTGTTTCTTGGGGATAGGAAGAAGAAGGAGAGAGGAAGAGTCGGCGAGAGAGAATGACACAGACAAAGAATGAGAGAGGGAGGGACAGCAGCTGATGACCGGCCAAAGCGCTAACCACGACAATTTTTTCAGCGTTCGGCGCGAGGATTGCGTCCACGTGGTGGGTGAATGCTTGCAACGCCGGTCTCGTTTCACGTGACTACGTGTGACGAGGATCATGTGTCTTTTGTGGAACGGCCGTGAGGCTCTGCGTGGCGGGGTCAGGTAGGTTATTATTCCCGCCGCGGCGGATGCTAAGACACCGACCACCAGCCGTCTCAATCAATATTCTTTGAGTTGAGGAACACCAGGGTAGCCCCGCCTTGCGCCTCTCCTCCCTCAACAGCTCGTCCACCACTCTTCCATTGACAACATGTTTTATATTCTACGTTTTTGGATTGTTTCCTGCTGTTCGACACCATCGTGGTCGATAGCTTGCAGAACATAAACATGTTACAGAACAATACCACAGTTTCACCTCACGGGGCAGGTGGCGCTCGCGGTTTCAAGGCGCGCCCTAAGCAGCGCATGCTCTCTCCATCGCCAGCGGATTAACCATCTCGACAATTTCTCCCTCTTCAAACTCGTCATCGTCTGTGCCGTCCGCCTTCACAGGAGATGAAGTTGACGTCAAATCACCTTCGGAAACTGATGCACCCTCCGAGTCGCTGCCTGTCTTAGGTCTCTTTCCCCGCTACCATGCGTTTCGGCCGAGGCGTCCTCCGTTGATTCGTCACGGGACCGCTTCCTGTTGTCGTGACCATCCTGTGCCAGTATCCCGGACTCCCTTCTGTCCATGGTCTTGCCGTCGAGACCACCGCCTCGTGTCGAATCAGCGTCACCCTTCGATTCCATGCATGCATCCGCGTTCGCTTTGAAAGCCATCTGACTACCCCCGCCGTTGAACTGCCGCTTGCCATCGGCAGAGTCCAGAGCAGCGCCAGTGTTGGTCAACGCCGAATCACCATTGCTATCGGGTCGGCTCAGGTGGGTCTTCGACGGGAGGCGCGGACATGGCGGAGGTATTGGCTTCGTTGCCCGTGGGGCTTTGCCGAGGGGACTTGGGTGGTCCGTCTGGGGTGACCTTCGTGCTTTGCCGTGTTTGCGGCCTACGCCACTTATTTATCGGGTGAGACTGTTTTGGTGATGTATTAACTTCACGAGAGGTAGACGATCGTCCTTCACACGGACGAAGGAGGGAGTGCTCAAAGAGCGGCTTCTACAGCAAGGAGGGGCCCCGTGAATCATCGCGGTGTCCCCTACCAAACGGCAATCTTACCAATCTGCGTGACACCAAATCATACAGCACGTATATCCAACACCAATGTTCGCAGACCCACGAACACCCTCCCTGGTCCTTCACGCAAGTGACTAACCATCAACGGGGCAAGGACGCCCCTGGATACATAAGAAAATACCAACATGGTAATGTATGGAGGGGAAACCCGGCGTCCGGGTAACACCCCTAAATTTAACCCCTACCACCACAAAGACCGTCGCTATCAGAGCGGATCACAACGGCCGCACATACTAGTAAGGTCAAGGCGAAGACAAGAACGCGAGGAACTATGTTCCCTCGGACGATGGTTTCCCAACGCCCCCTACTCCTGCCATTGGTACACAGACCGCAACAGTTATGCGCCTTTCCCCGCATGGAAAACGTGACCTCTCCCAAGTGCTAGAAATTGCTACAGCTACTCTGGCAAATTCATAAACTTGCGCCGGTGGTACTGCAGACTAGCCCTGTTAAGGGCCTTGGTTAGGAGGTCCGCGTGTTGCTCCGTAGTCGGAATAAACTTGACCGAAATATCCCCCGACATAAACAATCCGCGGATGAAATGAAATCTCACGTCGATGTGTTTCGTGCGACCTGAGCTGAGGGGGTTCTGCACCAACGCTATGGCCCCCTGGTTGTCCTCAAGGGCCTGGATACTGCTACCACTGGTCTCTGGGGCAACAAACGAAAGCACAGCACGCACAAACAACGCGTCCTTGAGGCCCTCCCCGGCAGCAATGTATTCGGATTCCGTCGAAGACAAAGACACGATGCTTTGTGTCTTACTACCATGGCTGACTACGGTACTTCCAACCGTCGTCGCCAACCCTTGCACCGAACGCCTATCCTCCGTGTCAGCGTAGCCAGCGTCTACGTACACGGCCAGCCCCATCCCCGATCCCCGTTTTTAGGTGATGCCGAGGTCCCTCGCCTCCTTCAAGTAGCCGAGGATCTTCTGGATGGCATCCCAGTGCCTCTTCGCCGAGGCGTGGGCGTGGCGCGCTACCGCACGGACAGAGAACAAGACCTCTGGACGCGAGAATGTCGACAACCACATCATGCTGCCGATTGCCTCCCTCACCGGCCACTCCCCTCCCTTCTCGTCATCTCGCTTCGGTCCTAGGTCGACACCAGGGGTAGCAGGGATGCGGGAGGTCGATTGTACATCAATGCGTTTCACCATGCTATCAATGTACGCGGTTTGGGGGATTCTAAGAGTCCCAGCCTCCACATCTCTCTCAATGGCGCACCCGTCAAACCATTCGCATTCTCCAAGACTTTTGGTGGGAAATTTCTTGTTGAGAGAAACAAGCAACTCCTCGAAGTCCTCGTCAGACACAGCCACCAAAATGTCATCCACGTAGATCACGATAATCATCACCACGACTTCGTCTACCATCTTGCGGAAAACACACGGGTCCGCTTTGCACTACTCGAACCCGTTCTCGACTAGCGTATCAGCAGCGTGGTACCCCCACTGCCTACCGCTCTGCTTCAGACCGTAAATCGCACGCTCAGCCTTAACAATCTTATGCGATTTGTCCCCGCACCCAGCGGGGAGCCTCAGAAAAAAACCCTCGTCTAGCGTGGCGTGTGTGTACGCCTGCTTCACGTCCCAGTGATTGAGGTTTATGCCCTTCTCGTTTGCTACCGCAAGCATCAATTCATTGGATGCGGATGATGAGCAAGGGGAAGACGAATGGAAATAGTCGACGTTGGGGATTTGCGACAACCCCCTAGCCACCAGACGCGCTCTGAACTTTTCTATCTTCCCTTCCTTGTTGGTCTTCCAACTAAAACACCACTTTGAGCTCACAGGCCTGCGCCCCTCTGGCGCGCCGTCTACGAATGGAAACGTCCCCGTGCCCACGTGCCCTTCAAACTCTTCCCTCATCACCTATTCCCACCCCTCTCTGTACACAGACTTGGCAACGCCGGCTACGGTCATGGGGGGGGGGTTCTACATCACTCGGACGCTTGCCCATGGGGAATTCACTTAGCTCGTGGGACGCTAGAGCCGTCTCGAAGGCGTCTAGCGAGTTGAGCATGAAGTCCACCGCACCCAGCAGGAAATCCTCCGCCTCTTGGCGCGCAGCGTCGCGTTGCCAGGAGCAATTGCGGCATAGACATGTTCGGTGTGTGTGCGGAAACAGTTTTGGACGTACAGATTACCGCATCGGGGGAGGTACACCGACTCCCCCCCCCCCTCTCCAATTCCAACTCGTGTTTTTTGAGGGTTTTGGTTCGAACCCATCGCCGAAGGGGGAAGTGAGAGATAAGAGGTTGTAATCTAGTCGGGGAACGTGTGCAACCCGTTTCAACAACAGGTCGGTTGTACCGTCGCGCGAGCTAAGGGTTACCGTCACGTCGCCATACCCTACGATAGGGAAGGTTTCTCCGGCGGCGACGCGCACACGTCGATCACACTCTTCGTAACGAACGAACCCATCTGAGTTCGCGAACATGTGGGTGGTAGCGCCGGTATCGGCAACATACCTACCCCGCCTAGCCTGCTCTACACCCCCTCGACCAACGACTTTGTGACACTCGCCTGAGATGTCACCGACCACCAGCGCTTCTTCTGCCACGTCCAGTGCTGTGGCGTCCGCAGACGCCCCCCCCGCCGGCACTTCCACCACGAGCACCGCCTCCTCGGTCGGGCACTTACTCTTGTCGTGCCCGTAGCCCTTGCATGTCTCACATCGCACGGGCTTGCTCTCGGTGTAGTCGGCCACCTGGTGGCCCTTCCTGCCGCACCGGAAACAGCGACCGCGCATGCCACCCGCATCGTCGTCGCCGCCTCCGCCGCCGCCACCAGCCTTCGCGCCACTCCCCTTCTGGTTGCCACCGCCGCCGCCGCCGCCACCCTTGCGGCGGCCGCCGTTGCCGTGGCCCGGCGCTATTCCCCCACCGCTACCGCCGCTCGCGAGGAGAGCGTGCTCTGCCCTCCGCTGGCCCTTCGAGGCCTTCCTCCCCTCCGGAAGGCTCGCGTGCACCGTGCTCCAGATCCTGACGATCTCGGCCCTATCCAGCGCCGTTGCTGTCTCCAACAGGAACTTCGCTTGTTGGTACTCGGGTGGGAGGGAACCAACGAAGTGGGCGAGAACGAAGGGCTGTTCAGCATTGAGCCCTTTTTCGAGCAGGCGTGAATACAGCAGCTCGAGCGAGTATAGGTGCTCGATGGGGTTTGTGCTGCTGTGTGTGGGGATCGTAAAGTTGAACATTTGCTTCATGAGGGCTTTGTTTCGAGCCCTGCGATTCGTAGATTTTGTCTAGTTCCGCGAGGATCTCTTTTGCGGTCTCGCATTTGTTCACGATCGCCTTGTCGGTTTCCAAGACGATGGCAGTGGTCACAAAATGGAACGCTTGGAGGCTCCTCTGGACCTCGTCGCTGGTGTATTGGAGGCGGTACAGCTCCANAGGGAACCAACGAAGTGGGCGAGAACGAAGGGCTGTTCAGCATTGAGCCCTTTTTCGAGCAGGCGTGAATACAGCAGCTCGAGCGAGTATAGGTGCTCGATGGGGTTTGTGCTGCTGTGTGTGGGGATCGTAAAGTTGAACATTTGCTTCATGAGGGCTTTGTTTCGAGCCCTGCGATTCGTAGATTTTGTCTAGTTCCGCGAGGATCTCTTTTGCGGTCTCGCATTTGTTCACGATCGCCTTGTCGGTTTCCAAGACGATGGCAGTGGTCACAAAATGGAACGCTTGGAGGCTCCTCTGGACCTCGTCGCTGGTGTATTGGAGGCGGTACAGCTCCAAGCTTGGCACGTTTGAGTTGCCGACAGGTGCATGTCTCTCGTTGTTGCCGATCAATTGGCCGTCCAGTCCTACAGTCTTGGCCGCTTGGATAAGCGACTATCTCCACGAGTCATTCCCATGGCCGCGACTCTCCCCTTCGAGACGCAGGGCATTGACTGTTACTCTCTTCATGTGGCTACTGCTGTAGCCGTCGAGGAATTCTCCATTTCCTCATATCACGGGTATCTCACCTGGGGGTTTAACCCCCTCGCTTCCCCGTAGTCCGGTCCTATGCCCGGACCCACTCCGGTTGGTCTCGCAGGATTCGCTCCCGATCTGTTGGCCCAGCCGCCTTCCAGCAGCTGACATGGTCCTTGCCCACCATCTCTCGCTTGCTGCTGGAGAAATCCCCCTCACCGCCGAGCGGCAGCGTTGGCGCTTGTTGGTCTTCGGTGGCGGCAACCCAGCCGCCACTACTGGCTGCATCCGCCACGACGCTGCCAGACTCCATCTCCANACCCCCTCGCTTCCCCGTAGTCCGGTCCTATGCCCGGACCCACTCCGGTTGGTCTCGCAGGATTCGCTCCCGATCTGTTGGCCCAGCCGCCTTCCAGCAGCTGACATGGTCCTTGCCCACCATCTCTCGCTTGCTGCTGGAGAAATCCCCCTCACCGCCGAGCGGCAGCGTTGGCGCTTGTTGGTCTTCGGTGGCGGCAACCCAGCCGCCACTACTGGCTGCATCCGCCACGACGCTGCCAGACTCCATCTCCATTATCGACTCCTCCACCAGGGCCGCCAATCGTGAGACCTGCAGTTGCAAACTTGTAAGCTCCGCATCGCTGCCCTCCTGCACCGGCGGGCGGATCTGTTCTCCGCTCACAGCAGTGCGCTCTTCGTCTCCAGCAGAGCTCATCCCAATGTGGCTTCCATCGAGGGGCAAAAAGTGTTTGCGGCCTACGTCACTTGTTTATTGGGTGAGACTGTTTTGGTGATGTATCAACTTCACGAGAGGTAGACGACCGTCCTTCACACGGACGAAAGAGCGAGTGCTCAAAGAGCGGTTCTCACAGCAAGGAGGTGCTCCGTAAATCATTGCGGTGCCCCCTACCAAACGGCAATCTTACCAATCTGCGTGACACCAAATTATACAGCACGTGTATCCAACACCAATGTTCGCAGACTCACGAACATGCCGCCGGAGGGCAGGCGAGAAGAACCGGCCGGGGCCTCAGAGTTGGCACCCTTCGGCATCGAGGGCGGCTTCGGCCCTGCGCAGGAGATGGGCTTCGACGCCGGCTTCGGGGTGCTTCCGGGGTGTGGGGGTCACCGGTGGCTTTGGCGTGCTATGTAGGCAGCCGGGCTGTGAGAGGGATCTTCACGGGCTTGGGTATGTGCTGGGCGGGCGAGGCTTGGTTGTACTTGGCGGTCGCGGTGTACACGCGTTCGACTGGTTCATAGTAGCAGGAGGTCCTGACTTCGAATCCAAGATGAGCTCGACCAAGCGTTGTTCGGCACCCTCCGCGGCAGTGGTGGTCGCGGGCGAGGTCGTTTCTCAGCGCTGTCGCTCGCAGCGCCGGTGGCAGCCTCTATTCGCTTCCTCTTCGTAGTCGATGCGTGCGTCGGTGGTTTGCTCGCGAACTATGCGCGCTGCTGGCCCATGCATGGATAACCGTCTTGAGTTGAGAACTTGCCCCACGTCAAACCGCCGCCAGTAGCCCCACGACTGTGCGATAGCGGCACCTTCGGCGGCGGCGGAGACATCGAGGGCCACCGCTCATCAACCGTCTTGTGCTTTGTCACCCGGGGTCGATCCGGCGCCGACGCTGTCCTCTTTCTTCGTTGTTTGTTGGATTGTCTGGGCAGCTAGTGCTTCCGCTACGCAGTGCCGAGTGATCTTGGTGCCCGATTTGCCCGAGTCATCGTCTAAGGTGTTCAGCCATTGATCTGTCCCCCCTGTGCAGCATTGATACATAGCAGTCACAGCAGAGAACAAGGGAGGTTTCGCCCGATATCTGTATTTTTGCTCTACATGTAGTGTATGCCAAAGTTCGTGCGATGAATCGGCTGCTTGGCTGATACCCGCGGGCATCAAAAGACCGTACAACCAGGGAGGCACTTGTGTCCGGTCCGAGGTGCCCGCGAGCAGGGCATCTCTTCCCGAGCTATATTCACAGTTGCGCGGCCTCTCGCGTACTTCATTGTGCAGCTGAATCTCAACTGCAAAAGTTGTGGTTGGTCCCATACCTTAACCGCCCGTTCACACGTTTCGTTCGAACAATGGTGCCCTTCGACACCTCGAATCGAACCGCGAGACGTGGATCCTCGTTTGACCCCGAATGGTTCGGCTACGCAACTTTGGGTCGAATTTTCCACTAGCACTCCGAATCTACCACAGTCGACACCAATCGCAACCACGGTTGAAGATCCATGCCTTGGCCTAAGCCTGATGCGTTTGGATTCATCGCTATCAAATGTCAACCAAACACCAATCCCCAAGCATCGGTCTAGAAGTGTTGAAAATGTCTGTGCAAATAGCGAGCCAAGCAATGGTTGAGTTCGCCGGGATCCTCGAATTGCAAAATCTTTGTCCATGGGGATAGGTACGTCGCTGGCCTTGCGCTGACAGTCGGTGGGTGCTCGAGGCACATCGTTCACCTGAAGGAGTGGGAGGAATCAACGAATGCAGGTGGGAGCGTATGTGCCACAACTTCAGACGTACCTTACCCTAACCCGCTCCGTACAAGTCGATAATTGTAGGGACAGGCGGATTTGGGCGGAAAGCCCTTGGGGCTGGGAGAGATCACCAACGCTGGAGGACAAGTGTGAATCTCTTGCAATTTTGTTCTTGACCAGAAATCCCTGCTGGTCATTCTTTCCCGATGCGAAGGCTTCCCTGCGCTCGTCCAAACAAGAACGCAACCTGTTGCGCACAACCATCGTCAGCCCACAGCTGGTGGTTTCACGCCGTTTTCAGAGCTCGAGCAAGGATTACTCGCCGTTCTCGACATTCTACCCACCACAGTGTACCACCAGCGTACATCGCGACTCCGCGGCGAGCCGTACCTCCGTACGCCTCAATAACGCGCATCTGATTCAGCAGGTGGCAACAGCCTTCGGAGATCAAGGCCACCTTGTTTTCCCGTACCCAGCTGAATGGCCGGTTTGGGAATTGTGTGTTCGAGGTATACGATCATGGCACGGCTGTCGGTATCGCACAATATCTCACGCGACAGTCCTGGCATGCGGCCCCAGACGCGAAAATGGCGCCAAACACATGTCTCTAACACGGGACACTTCGGGACGTCGGTGTTGTTGGTTGGTCAAACTCCTCTATAGTGTTGATCACCTACGTGTGACTCTTCGCGCTTCTTGTGTCGAGATAGGACAAGCCTCAACCGATTCACTCGCTCTCGCTCTCTATATGTATATGTCTCTCTCCCACTCTCTCTCTCTCCTTCTTCTTCCTATCCCCAAGAAACAAAGAAAGAAATGTCGGACACTCAACCACAACAGGTAGGAATCACGATATACCGCGATATCAAAAAGGCGGTTGTCAGACGTAAGATGACTGCAATTGGCACCAGTCTGACCCCGTATTAGACGTTGTCAGCGATATCCAGGATAGACCCTACAAGGTGGACAGTACATATCAAACCTCCTAGAAAACCGGGAACCACAGTCACATGCCATGCTCTGTCTGGCACGCATGCCTTTCTGTAATGAAGGGGGTCTAGGGAAGGGAGAACCACAACGAGAGATGAAGATGGCGCCCTTGTGCACCTGAGCGAGAACCGCCGTGAGAAGTTGTCTCGGTTATGTTTACCGGTATTCACGGTGGCAGTGCCCAAGGGTCAGCTTCGAATACTGTTTGTTAGTGTATCGCTCGTTGGTTGTTTGCATTCCGTTGCTTACTTTTATGGGCTGCAGGGTCTTAGAGGATTCTTGGTATTCCGATATTCCCCCGGCTGCTTCCTCCACTAGCTCAGTGTCGTATGACCGCGTTATGTTGCCTCTGGTTCTGCCGACAAGTCAAACTTCTCGTCATTGATTGGCGGTTGGGCGAAAGACGTCGATGAATGCAACAGAATAAAAAAAGCAAACAACGATGCATGGATCGCTGCCAGCATGGTCTACTTCCCCGCCCATAATTGAGGACCAAAGCCTGCAAAAGCGCTGACGGTGCAGAAGGGAAATATCAACACAGCACGAAAATCCTACCAGCTCGGTGTGGCTAATATTGGGGAATTTGGCCCTTCTCACCTTCCAGATCCCTGGTCTTGGTGTACATCCAGATAGAACCACCTACCTCGGCCCTACAAGTTGTGATGGCAAAAGTAGGACGTGAAATGTTAGTTCAAAACCAACCCCCGGGGGAATTTACGAGAAACTCGCCTACTATCCCGGGCGTATATCTACAGAGGGAGGCGATTTCATTCTCATCAAAGAGACGACCCCACCCCGGTACGTGTAACATATTGTTTGTTGGCGAGTTTGGGGAGTTGGGGTGTGACGATACGTTGAAGTAGAGGGAACACGACACCGACGACTGATTGTGCTAGGCCTGCGTTGTGCTACTTTCAGGTACGTACTGCACTCGAGTAAAAAGCACTTT